CGCTGAGTGGGAATCCATTCTGAAGCCGGAACCTCCCAGAACCCGAGGAGGACAGAAGCCGACCATATTGTGTTTAGCATATTTCTACCTGATTGAAAGGGGGCTCTGCACATGCCCAAGGTTGAACAGCAACGGAGGACATTATCGCATTTAATTATTCCTCCGGAATAAAAATGGATTCTAGCCACGGCTCCGAGGCGAGGCAGAGTCATTAGAGCTTGGGAGCTCGCTCGCAAACATTCAAATGTGCAATCATTGTAATAAGTGCATTAAAATAAAGTAAGTCAAAGGGTTGCATGTGCATACCTCACCCAAGGTGAGAGAGCGGGATTGGTGGAGGACGGCGACGCGGCCGGGCGATGGTGATGGAGGAGTCATGACGGGTCTGCCCTCCGGGTGGAGGAGCCGAGACCCAGCGGGGACTGGTGGGTACCCGCTTGGAGTTTATTGCTCATCCTTCCTCCTGTTGGAGTGACAGGAATGTTCCAGAAGCTTTGCATACATGCAGCCTCACCCAGTGACCTCTGAGGTCAATATTATGACTGGCCCCATGTTCCAGGTGAGAAACGGAGTCGCTTCCCCAGGAGCAGCGGGACCTCGGGTGCTTCACATCTGTGCCTCAGCTCCGTCCTCTTAATCAGGACTGGTACCCGCTGCATCAACCAGTGTCCCAGAGGACCAGCACCCATGCCCTGGGGATCCAGGGCAGGGGGGGCACGTGGCCATGATGGCAGTTCTCTCCAGGGGCATCTGCCTGGGACCTTCCAAGGTTTTGCACAGAGAAGGGGACCTGAGCCTGGCTCTGTGGACTTGGGGAACCCAGGGAAAGAAGAGTGAGCCCTGCCGGCCCCTGCGTGATCACAGGAGGAACTGGGGGGATCTCTCAGGCCCCGTGATGGACACTGGATGCAGAAAAGGTGGCGAGGACGTACCGTGGGGCGGTTCTCGCTCACGGAGGAAGGAAGCCTGTAGCGTGCAGCCTCATGGGTGAGCCTGAGGACCTCATGGCACAGGAGGGGGACAATGGGGTAACGCGGGCTCCACGACGTGGACTACGTACGCAGCGTGCCGACCACAGAGTCAGAGTGGACAGGCGGGGCCCAGGGCTGGGCGAGGACTTTGGCAGTTGCTCACCGGGTGGGGGGGGGCCTGAAGTCTCAGTCATGCAAGCTGCCCCCCAGCCTCCTCCCCATGGTCAACGGTTCTGCGTTCTACACTGAAATCGGGGTGGCAGGGCATCTCGTCAATGCAGCGATCGCCATGGTTTACTGAAATTTTGATCTCACAATAAAGAAAATTCTAGAAAAAGCTGGTAGGGGAAGGTGAGGGAGGACCCACTGGTCACTATGGAGAACAGCGAGGATCAGGGTGATGGAGACCCACACCTTGGGATCCTGCCCGGCTCTCCCTGACCGTGCCTCTTGTGGACTTTTCTGGAAGAAGCTGATATCTGTGAGCTCTTCATCCCACAGGACAGAGCATCTTCCCTCCCTCTTGCCCATGAGCCTTTGCATTTCCGTGGGCAGCCGAGCAGCGTCGGAGGCAGGCGCAGGCCACAGGGCCAGCCCGAGGCCACCGTCCCCGATGCGGTTGGCTCTCCCGAGTTAGATGGTGAGGTGAATCCGGGGCCATGTCACACTGGGTGGTGGCACCGGTTCCTGGTAGTGCAAATTAGCTGGAGGAATCCGCTTCACAGATTGTCAGATTAGCTTTGTTGGTCTGGGCGGACGGGGAGCAGGGATCATGTCTCCCTGGTCTAGTTTTGCTTGTTGAAACTCTGCCAGAAAGTGCACAAAACATGAGCTTTTGAAATAGGCGGTTTATGGAGGTTTATGGGGGTGGTTGTGAGGGTTTATGGGGGTTTGTGGGGATTTTCCACTCGGGGCACCAAACTTGGTGAGCCTCTATTAACAGAAGAGTCCCAGAATAAAACTGATGCTGTCTATAAGGACTCTGGTTTCTCTGGCTTATTCCCAGCCTTCTTGTGAACTTCCAAAAACTGGGCTTTTTAAGACAGAATTAAAATTCATGTTGTTAGGGTTGGACCCATCAAACTAATTTTCTCTCTGTTGGAGTCAAAACAAGAAAGAGAAAATGAAAACAAACTTGGTTCCTGTGTTTGAGAAGAGCTGGGAGGAAGGGTGACCAAGTGGGCTCCTACATTAGTTAGGATGAGCTAGACCATGCTGCAGTAACAGAGATCCCCAAATCTCAGTGACCTTAAGCAGAAGAGGTTCCATCTGCCCACTGGGGGTTGGTAGAATCTGCTCTATGCTGGCCACCCTCAGGGATGCAGGACCTTCACCAGCAGGAATATGGCCAATGTCTTGGTCAGCTTTCATTGCTGTAACAAAATACCTGAGATAAACAGCTTAAAGGAGGAAAGGTTTCCTCTGGCTCACAGTTTCAGAGGTTTCAGTCCGTGGTGGCTTGGCCCATTGCATGTGGCCCTGTGGGGAGACAGTACATCATGGTGGGAGCCTGTGGTGGAAGACACTTGACAATCTCGTGACGGTCAAAAAGTGAGAGAGGAGGGGACTGGTGTCTCATGTCCCTTCGAGGGTACGTGCTCCCAATATCTAACTTCCACTAGGTCCCACATCCTCCTTGTGACCCTGAAAACCTTCTTGGGGCCTTTGGGGGGCATTTAAGATCCTAACCATGAGAGCTGGTGGCAATGCTGTGGGGTGGAGCTGGCCCCCAGCCCCGGCCACTTGTCTTGGCAGTGTCCAGCTGTGAGTCACCTACCGTGGTGCCTGGGTCGCACTGTGCTCAGAAAACGCGTCTGAGGGGCTCTGGACAGAGAAGAGCCATCAGTACAGCCCGTGCGTTTAGGGACCAGGAACCCAGAGCTCTGGGAGCACCTGCCGGAGGCCTGGCAAGTCCCTGTGGGACGGAAAGAGAGGCCACCACCACAAGGTCCTGAGCCACAGGTCCCCGTGTGCCGCAGCCCTCAGCCTCCGTCCTTCCGCCTCCGCCGCTGTGGGTTCAGCCGACGGCAGAGTGAAAATATTCAGGGGGGAAAAGAAAGTGCATCTGTACTGAGCACGGCTCCTGTGTCACGGTTCCCTCAACGACTCTTCCCATTTTCCAAATTACTGTATCGGGTGATTGAAGTCATCGAGAGACGATGGGAAGAACACGGGTTGGGAGGACGCAGGTAGGGTGTTTGCAAATATGATGCCATCGTATGCAAGGGACCTGGGCACCTCTGCGTCTGGTGTCTCAGGGGGTCCTGGGTGACCAGCCGGTCTCCTTCCTTCTTCCTGCCCCGGACCCCAGCTCCTGCTGCCTCTGACTCTGGCACTCGGTGTCCCCAGCTTCTGGGCTCTGTCCCTCATGAACACAGCACAGCAGGTCGCTGGCCGGCCTCCGGATGGCTGTCCGAGGGTCTCGTGTCCACAGCAGACTGACGAGCAGGGTCAGGCTGCGGTGCCGAGGGGAGGGGACCACGGCATCGGTCTCCTTGGCCGGCGGGAGCTGGGGGTCTGGGTCTGTCCTGCGGGGACCCAGAGTCACCACCGGCTCTCCTTGGGCAAGTCACCCATTAATGGGTGCTCAGTTTCCCCTCCATAAAACAAGAAAACTGCAATGGCCCGACATGTGCCGTGGCCATCTTGGGGTGGGCTGTCCTCCTTCCACCTCCCCCGAGTGGACAGGGGCTCCATGCCAAGGAGGGGGCAGAGCTGGAGGGGGCAGCCCCATGTATGGCTATTTCTCCAGGTCACAGCTGAGCCAACAAGGACAAGGAGGACAGGGCATCTACCCCTCTGCAGAGGACAGGAGGCCTTCACACTCGGCTCCTGCAGAGCGAGGACCACAGACTCTTCCTTAGAGGGCCCCAGGGAAGGGTTCACGGTTTCCATGGCAACCGCCCAGTCTGTAGGGTACCGTGAAGGCGGCCCCGGGCAGTGCTCAGATGAACAGGTGTCGCTGCTGCGTTTCAATAAAACTTTATTTACAAAAACAGGTGGCGGGCCAGATTTGGGCCACGGGGTGCAGGGTGCTGACCTGCTGGAGGGAGAGCCGAGCACAGCAGGGGCTGCCCTGTCCACCACTCGGGAAATGGCCACTGCCCTCCCCTCGCCCGCCACTCTTCCTAGGGAACTAGAATTTTAGGACATTTTAACTCTCCCTAAAAAAAAAAAAATAAAATAATAAAGCACACACAAAACAAAACAAAACAAAAGAATATGGATGCTACTTATCACCAGTGCGCCTCTGTAGCAACAGGACAGGCCGAGGGAGCCCGCGAGAGCTCTGGGTGCCTTTGGAGGTGCCCCTAGTGGTGGGCTTTGGGACCGTGAATGCTTTTGGGGTTAGCCTCTGGGAATGGCCTCTACCCAGAAGCACCGTGTTTCAAGAACGATTCGGACCATTTGATCTAAACTCAGAATCACTAGGACCCACGTACCTACCCACAGAGGAGCAGGGTTTCTAGCACCACCTTTCTGGAAAGATCCAAGGCACCCGTGGTCTCCACTGATTTCTGGCCTTTCTCTCGACCCCCCGGTGGCTCCATTCGCCCTGTTCCACTTGCCAGCATCGAGAGCTAAAGGTTCACAGGGGCTCAGGTCTCGACCTCTCTGAAGGGCACAGGTACAGGCGTCCAAGATCCTGCCGATATTTTCTCCTTTTACAACATCATTATGTTATAAACATAATATATCATGTTTATATAATATATAAACAGGATTCTATGTTATAGAATTATAACATATTATAACCTTCCCAGAAACCATCATAGCACTTCCTGGATTCTCAACAGGAAGGTGCAGTCAAATATCTGTTACCCAGTGACAGACATGGTACAAAGAAAGGGAGAAACCGACTCGAGGCCTTGAGAATCACAGTCAGAGCAGAGGTGGGACCGGACGCTCCGGCTCAGACTTCCGCAGCTGCACGCCCCGGGGTGGTGGTGGTGGGGGGGGTTCCACGGGGACCAGCCCCCTGAGCACAGGTAAAGTCTCTCTTCTCTGTCTCTTTTCCGTCTCTTGCAGGACGGTTACTTCTCTCACCGGCCCAAAGAGAAAGTGCGGACCGATAGCAACAACGAGAACTCGGTGCCCAAGGACTTTGAGAACGTGGACAACAGCAACTTCGCGCCCAGGACCCAGCAGCGGAAGCACCAGCCCGAATCGGCCAAGAAGCCCGCGGGTCGGCAGAAGGAGCGATTGCAGAGGAAGCTGGAGCCCCAGGAGAAGGGACAGGGGCAGGGACGTCCCTTCCTGGGGAAAGGCCCCAAGGAGGCCCTGCCTCCCCGGGAGAGCGCTGCGGCCAACAGCAGCCGAGGGAAGGACCCCCCCAGACCCCCCCACGCCAGGAGGGGCGGAGGCAGCTCCCGGGAGAGCAAGGACGACCGGCCCCCCAGGTGTGACATTTCGGGCAAGGAGGCCATCTCGGCCCTGTCCCGCTCCAAGTCCAGGCACTGCCGCCAGGAGATCGGGGAGACCTACTGCCAGCACAAGCTGGGGCTGCTGATGCCCGAGAGGGTGACACGGCTCTGCCCCCTGGAGGGTAAGTCCCGCTGGGCTCTGCTCACACCCCACGGGTGGGAACGCAGGGTCTGGCTGGCCTGGGACTTTGGGGATGCTGAAGTCCCTTGTAAGAGTCCCATCACCTGTTGCTGGTGCTCTGCCCCCATACCTAGGTGACAAAGGGCCGAATCACAGTGACACTGGGGCCCAGGGGAGCGGCAGGGGGCTGCGTGCAGAGGACTGGGATGGGGGGTTGGCCTGGACTTGAGGGCCACTGAGCGTGATCTGGAAGATTTCTGGTTGGTGGCGTCGACCCCGGGAGCTCTGTGGGGACAGCCTTCCCGTCCCCCTGGCCCCACAGCCCCTTCCTTCCTTGCTTCCTGTTTCCTCTTCTCTCTCTCTTCGCTTTCTTTCCTCCCTCCCTCCTCCCCGGTGCGGGACGCTCTTCCAGGTGCCCGTGACCCAGGGATAAGTCAGGTCTCCTGCCAAGACGCAGGGCCGGCTCAGAGGCCAATAGAGAAGTCACGGGCAGAGAGTGGAGGGGCCCTGGGTATGGGGAGCAGCTCGCACAGGTGAGACCGCACCTGCTTCTCTGCAGCTAGAACCATGGCTGGGATGTGGGCGTCTTGGACGTGGGCATCTTGGCCATGACCGGTGCCTTCCCCGGGGCCCACGGGTGGGCGCAGCCTCCGCAGCTGCAGGCACTGGCTGAGCCTCATCCCATGGGCCACTGAGTCCCACCCCCCCGTGGGGTCAGCTCTGAGGCCTGGAGCCTAATTTTTTTTCTCAGACAAGAGACGTAAAATCTTAGAAGGTCCCACAACTTGTCAGCGGCCTTCTGAGATGTCACACGGAGTCACCCGAGGCCCAGGTGAGCTGGACTGGATGAAGCGTCACTTTCTGAGGTCCCCTCCTTCCTTCCTTTCTCTCTCTATGAGCAGAAAAGTCCTAACTGGCCCCAGAGCGGGGAGGACCTCACGCCCCTCCACCTGGCTGAGGGGTAGGACTGTGGTCACTGCCGTCCCCGCATGCCCAGGCTGCCGTCCCCTTCACCGGTGCACTGTGAGGTGGCCCCTGGGAACCTGCTTACATTTTATTGTCCCTTGGGCCACTTCGTAACTATTTTCCTGGTGGTTTTGTCCCTGGGGAGGACAGACGGCATCCAAAAGGAATTTTTGTACAGAGAGTCGGCGCCATTGAGAGCCGAGGAGGCCGCGTTTGAGGTGAAGGGCGTGGATTCAGGCCAAGCTCAGCCGCCGGCCAACTCGCGGGGCCTCACTCCTCTCTGGTCAGGGCCCCCACAGGGGAAGAGACGTATCCAAGGTCACCCCGTGGGTAGGAGCGCGCTCATGTCAAGTGCAGCTGACCCTTGGTCCCCACAGGCTCTGCACAGCTGGAGCCAACTCACTGCAGATGGAAACTATTCCAAAAAGTCCACCCGCACTCAGCACGGCCTTCCCCCCTTGCGACGGCTCCCAGGTCCACCTGGACAGCAGCTGTTTCGCTAGCATTCACCTCCTATCAGCTCTTCCAAGTGATCCGGAGTTGGCCTGACGGGCAGAGGTTATGGAGACCACGGCATTGTATTTTATTTTAGATGTTGATGGACCTTTACTTTGTTCATTTATTTGTATGTGGTGCTGAGGACGGAACCCAGGGCCTCACACGTGCTAGGCAAGCGCTCTGCCCCCGAGCCACAGCCCCGGCCCCGACCACAGCATTTTATACCAGGGACATGAGCATCTGGAAGCCTGGCTGGCAGTGCCCAGAACCAACCCCACAAGTCCCCAGGGACAAGGGGACGGGCCTCTGTATTCACTAGTCACAATGTGGGAGTTGGATCTGACAGGCGGTGGCCACGCGAGCTCCGGGCGTAGACCGAGGGCTGGGGGGACAGGACCCTTCACGCGGCCTCTATGAGACGCTGCGGCCGGCAGTCGGGCCGCCTGAACGTTGCAACCGAGCTCATCTCTGCTCTTGAGCTTTTTGCAGGGAAAGTGTAGCTCTGCGGAAATTTCTTTTCAAAAGAGAGATTTAAAGGGAGAGTCTTCCTTTGTCCCTCACAGCCTCCCCCCGGGCTGTGTCTCCAGGTGCCTCCGTCTGTACTCCCGACTGCACTTGGCACTGGGATATAGGAATCACTGGGCGGAGGCTGACGTTTCCAGAATCTTTTGTTAACCTGACGCCTGGCAGAGAAAGCCTGGGTTGAAGGCCCACCCAGGAGACTAATGCAGGGCTCCTACTGTATACCAGGCATGCTTGTTCTGCACATGGCCAGATCGTAGGGATTCGGAGGGTCCTACAGTCTCTGTCACAAATACTGAACTTGCTGCAGTCGCAAAAATACAAACACAAACACACCGGGTTACGTTCTGACGAAACTGAACTTGCAAACGTAGGCGAGGGCCAGGTGGGCCGGCGGGCCCCGGTTGGCTCACTCCTGTGTCGGTTTCCAGTTCTGTAAATGCTCCTCCGTTTACGATGGGGTCACACCACCGTGGATCCGTCGCGAGTTGGAAATGCATTTAAGGCGCTCGCCTGCCAGACACCATGGCTTAGCGCAGCCGGCCTGCAGTGTGCAGAAGACCCGGGTCAGCTGCCGCCGGGCAGAGCCATCTAACAGGAAGCCCGCTCGGTGATAAAGTGTTGACGCTCTCGTGTGATTTATTGAATAAGCTCTGAAGCTGCAAAACCGCGTGGCTGTACGGTCGGCTTTTGCTCCCGTGTTGAGTTGAAAAATCATTCATGGCAGCCTCCTGAGCTAGGAAGCGTTTGTGCTGGCCTCTCCCAGCACCCGCGCTCTAGCCCCACAAGGTAAGTCTATGGCGAACCCATTTTGCCAGTGAGGAAATGGAGACTCCAAGGGGTTTGGGACTTGGCCAGAGGCACGTGGCTGGTAGGTGGCAGAGCAGGTGTTGGAACTCAGGTGACGGAGCCGGCATCCCATAAACCTGGCCCTGTGCCCTTCTGTCCTCGGTATATTCACAAAGGAGATGGGAGGGCACTGCTGGGGGGTATGGGGCGGGGGAGGGATGTTGCCAGTGGTTACGAGCCCGGCTGTGAAGCTGGACTTCCTGGATTCAAACTCCAGATCGCCCCTTCACAAGCTGTGGGACCTTGGGCAACCCGCTGGACCTCTCTGTGCCTTGTGGCCTCCATCTGTTAAGTGGAGGGGAACGTGAGCACGCCTATCTCAGAGGGTCTGTGAGGGCTGAACACACAGTTAAGAGCTTTGCCGGGTCAGCCAGGACTGGGCGTCGCACACACATCTGCCGTAAGACCTGCTCCGCAACTGTCCCTAAATAAATAAATACGGCGTCACCGGGAGCTAGGGGTTCCTACGGTTCTCCTGGTCATGCTGGGACACCTCCGGTGCGGCTCTGCAGGGTGGATTTGCCTGGGTCTTGTCCTAAGGCCTATACCGCCTGGGCCAAGGTGGCCTGCCCTCCTGGGGCGGCTGAGCTGGTTACGAAGATGGGCGTCGAAGCGCCGTCTCCCACCCAGCCCCGGCCACACTTCAGCCTGCTCCACGGAGGCCTCCGCCTCTTGCAATAAATTCACTGTGAATAGACTAATTGCAAAATAACCCTAATTGGGTAGTTATCAATGAACAACTTCCCGCGGAACAAAACGGCTTACAATTAATAGCGTTTAAGCCGTAAACCATTCTTCTGCAGAAAGCGAAGATGTAATTACACCCCACAGAGGGATATGGCGTTCCCTTCCTGGAAACCGGGGCGCCCGGAATCCCCTCTGCTCAGGGGGGATTGGGCTCCAGCCCCGTGGTCCTCCCGTTTCCCGTCAGTGAGGAAATGCAGACGGAGCGGCGGGAAGTGGAGTCTCTGAGGCGGTGTCCAGCACCGATGCGCCCCACGCAGGGGGACGCGCTGTCCTGTCACTTCACTTGACAACCTCCAGATCCGGCCCGCGGAGGAGGCGACCCATCAAGACGGGAAATGGGTTCTCTCCGTGTTGACTGTTGCAAAGGGCTCCTGCCACCCGCCGTCGGTCCCCACGCCTTTTGCTGAGGCCCAGAGTGGCGTCCAGGAGCCCGGGGGTCCTTCCTCTGTGCTGGGACCTGGCCTCCCTCTCTCTGCCTCCTGGAGAAGGCAGTTGGAAGGAGGGGAAAGGAAGCCACAGTGTCGTTCCATTAGGTTAGGGGGTCCCCAGGCCGCCCGCCAGCGACCGCGCAGGGGGGCTCTGTCCTATCAGCACGGGGGTGGCCTCACAGAATCTCTCAGGAGCCACCTAGTCACCCCAGGGACCCTGAGCTCACTGCAGGCCCACTGTGCGCGCTCACACACGATCCCCTGGACCGCCTGTCCCTTCTCCGTGTCCAGAACGACCCTGTGGCCTCCGGTCACTCTGCCTGGGCCTCCCTGTGGTTTTTTTTTGGAAACGTCACCATGTTAGATTGAAGCCAACCACAGCGTGAACTGGGGAAAGGCCTTTCCACCCAAAGAGTGGAAATGACCACTCGGGTGGGAATCCTGGTTCTGCCTGATGCCAGCTTCTCGCGTTGCAGCCCCGACCTCCCGGTGCCCCGTCTCCTCCCCTGTGGGCACAGATCGGCTGCCCTCTCTTCTCAGGGCGCTGGCGGGAATGGCAGAGGGCATCTGCTTTAGTCCACTGTGAACAATGACCTGGCAGGAATGATTTGAGAGGAGGAGAAGTCCATTTGGGGCTCGGGGTTTCGGGGGTCTCCGTGCCTAGATGGCCGGCTCCATGCCCTGAGCCCGAGGTGAGGCCCGACATCGTGGCGGAGGAAAGCAGCTCAGGACCCGGCCACCGGGCAGCAGAGAGAGAGCCCCCCTCACCAGGGACAGAATATGACCCGAAGATCATGCCCCCAGGGACCCACTCCTCTGGCCACACCTCCCTGCCTCAGTCACCGCCCGTTTCCCTGGAAGGGGACATCACACAGATGCGGCCACAGGTCTCCTAGCCCAATCATGGCCCCTCTCGACGTCCCCATGTTGTCACACACATTTTGGGGGCACCCCGTACCTAAACCGTGAGAGCACATAGGCACACCGTGAG